AACAACTAAACTATTCAAAAAAAAAGAGTACGACGCAAAAATTCTAGAGTGACGATACATGAAGTACAGAACAACAAAATGAATCACAGATTTATTTCAATTGATCGTTTCTTGATAGTCGTACATCTGTGTCGTAGACATCGTAGAACACAAACACATAGACCACGATTGATCATTTGCACGGGATGACCTCCTTCCCATTCCTATGATATATTTCTACTCGCATGTTGACATCAGTATGGAGCTAGGGTCATCGAGTAAATATTAGTTCTTGCATCATAAAACGTGATCATTTAGGACAGAAAAAAAATATTTAAATAGTTATATAAGCTATTAACAATAATAACGAAAAAAGACTATGTTAAACTTATTTTTATATAGACTTAATCATGATTTGATGATGATGATTTTTAGTGGCAAAAATGATATACTGTGGAAATTCTTGATTAAACCAATATGATTCATATATAATGTATTTACAAATATGATTTTTTTTTCAAGGTTATAATAAAATTGATGAACTACTGCGAGTCATGGTTTTTTTTTTTGAGTAAAAAGTAGCCTACTATCTGATAAAAAAAGTACTTTTATCAATTTACAAATGATAAATTTAACTTTTGGTAAGAAACTTTAAAGACTAAATATAGAGAATATTATTATTGACTTTATTACTATTTATGATACAGTACAAATATTTACTTGATAACTACTTATTTCTATTAGTCTAAAAAACGGTAAATGTTGAAGTTTTATCAATTATATTACTTATTCAAATATAGATAGTTTAACCCTTTCACGGCGATTCGGTTTTCCGAGGAAAATAGCTTCAACATATCAATTTTCATGCGTGTTCACGCTCGATAAATGCGATCATTGATATTTTCAGTATGTGCAGCTATTTGTTTTTTTTTCTATTGTTTGTATCATCGCATAGGAGGTTTCTTTCACGTCGAACTGAATAGTTACTCAAGTTTGTTTTTCTTTCTATTACATGTATTATACAATAGAAACGAAATAAAGAAACAAATTTGCAATGTTTTTCTTTTACTTTCTTTTGGTAACATTATCTTTGACTCTGTTGGGTGGTGTTATGACCTCTTTTCCGTCCTCTCCCACTGCCATCGCTGTTGTATGACATCATCACACATAAATACATACTCTATTTTTCTTCACTTTCGTTCTGTTGATATGTATGAAAAACACACTATATTTTTCTCTGTTCTTCGCATACGTTCAGATTATTCAACTGTATTTTCTCTTTTCTGTTCTATGCTACTCTGTCTCTCTCTCTATATATATATATTATGGCCGGAGTTGGAATTCAGCCACAACATGTATATATAGGGTGTTTCAAAAGGCCCTTTAAAACGTTTTTTCGTTTCATGCCACTATTGACGGAACTTCATCCAATAATTTTTTTGGATAATAGATAAATACACAGAGTTTTGATTTCTACGGGCGAATTTCAAAAGCATTGTTGAAAGCTAAGACCTTTAGCCGAAAGACAAAAATTTAGCCTATTGTCTCTTTCCACAAATACTCATGGATGATGTATGGTTTAATTGCTTGAATTTTGATTTGACACCATTCATGTCGTTTTTGTAAAGACGTATCAAAATAAAATTCCGTGAAAAGATCGTCCAGCTATCGGGCAATTTAACAATTTGAATGACTCGATAACTGGAAGTAATTAAAAAATAAAATGCTACGTAACGTTTTTCTGGAGAAGGGTGTGGGTGTGGGTATTGTGTGACTATTCTTTTCACCCACACCCAAACAACTGAAGTTTTGCGTTGATTTACATGTCGTCTGAAGAAACCGATACAGAAGACAGTGGTAACTCACTGAGTGATGCGAGTTCTTTGGATGATGAGTCTGCTAGAATGCAATTTGAATCGTCAAGCTCCGAGGAACAAGTTGCGGATGATGATGTGGATTCACAAGCCTGGGGCGAAATAGAATCAGACTCGGATGCTGAATTTTCGGAGGATTATGGAATGGTGGAAGAAGTATCGGCAAATTCGAAAGATAATGCGATCAATCCTATCGATTGCTATCGGTATTTCATCACTGATGAGATTATTAGCCTCATGGTTCGTGAAACTAATCGATATGCAGAACAACACTTAGAAATCCAGAAGCTTACCAAACGATCGAAAACTCTTCAATGGAAACCAACTACTAATGAAGAAATGCTCAAATTTTTGAGAATTATTATTGAAATGGGATTAGTGCAAATGCCGGAAATAGATTACTACGGGAGCAAAAGCAAGTTGTTTGGATCTGAAGTCATTCAAAATACAATGTCGAGAGATAGATTTGAATTACTTCTCAAATTTTATCATTTTTCGAACAACCAAGAAGAGCATGCAGACCAAGACAGATTGTTCAAATTGAAACCACTTTTAGATTTATTGAAAGCCAGATTCAAGTCAATTTATATTCCTGGGGTAATTATTTCTATCGACAAAACAATGGTACCATGGAAAGAGAGACTTTTGTTCAAACAATATATTCCTAGAAAAGCGCACAAATACGGCTGAACAAGTGATGAGGCCAAGGAGAGAACAGATATAGAAGAACAATCGAGTAAGGACATAGCGTAAGAATAGATAGATGAGAACAATACATATAATATACGAGTGAATAACGATATAGAATGAGAAGAAGGTTCAATCATGCATAGATGAACATAACAGTAACACGATTATGAACACTACGTATCATTGATTGTATAGCAACACACTGAGAAAGAAAAGACATCACATAAGATAAGATGCCTATTGGCACACTTATAAAAACAAGTTTATTTATACACTTTGCGCATTAAAAACAGCGTGTACTGGACAGGTTATTTTAAATTTCCATTAGAAACACTACCGATCCAGTATAAAATTGTATTGGTGAATTTAGTTATCATAGTGGGCTGCTTCAATTGCACTTGCACTAGCACTAGCACTTTGTCTTTTCTTGCGCCAACTACACGTTCGGCAGAAAGCTCCATGGACCCATATTTGATACAGAAATTTGGTTTAGTATCAGATATCAACGATTTTACACCAATCGATGAATTCAAAGTTTTCGAAACTTTGACGCTTTCACTGATGCTCTCAACGAGTACGCCTCATCACATGAACTAACCGATCTTGAACAATATTTTTTCAAAATTCAAACCGATCCTCGCCGTCGATTCCTCTATCGACTCAGTCAAAATTACTTTGACAGTTACTTTTTGCACATATATTTCATTCTATCCAATCCAGTATTGATTACGAAACCAACCTTCGCTAATCTCTATCATGATCGAAATTTACTACCGGTGATTACGGATCACATAATCGAACTTTACGAGACAATGGATTCTGAAGCAGCTCGTTTTTACAACAAACTACTCTTGGATAAATTTGCTAACAATCTCGATTTTGTTCCTCTACCAGGTGACTATCATGGAATGGACTATGGAATGTATTTCGAACTGTTTTCCAACGAAACGGCACGACCCAAAGCTTATATCATCAATTTAGCGAAAGATCCGAAATGGATTGAACATCCTGAGCAAGGCCTTTCTCAATTTGATCCGAGCATCTACCAATTTGCATTTGAACATTATACTGGTTTGGCATCGGTATCGATGGATAAATTTCCCAAAATTAAACAATGGGCACAAAAACATTTAGATTACCTTATGGAGGAAGTCAATCTGACGTGTAATCGCCTATTAACCGATCCGAAAGATAAGGAAAAGTCAACCTGCGAAAAAATGATTATTATTGGCAAACATCCAAGTCAACAATGGTCTTCAAAAAAAGAAATGATCGAGGCACACGAAACAATCTTAGCTAAATATCGTCAAATTTTCATTGATAAATATGGTTTCAAAGAATTTAATCCACCAGGTATTGTTGTTCTTGACAGTCCGATGTTGACCGGTGGCTATTACTATAAAGATAAATTCTATTTGAATGTTTGAAATTGGATCGATGGTAATTTCAAGTATGAAGTGGAAAGTCTTACTTTACACGAAACAATACCTGGTCATCACATGCAATTGGACGTCTCCTATCATTCACCCCACCGTAACTATTTGGCAGCAATAGATTCGCCACTGTGCAACGGGTTCATCGAGGGTTGGGGTCTCTTCTCTGAACATCTTGGCGACTTGCTTTTCGAAGATCTATGGGCCTATTTCGGTTATTTGCAAGCGAATATTTTGCGAACATTTAGGGTCATTGCCGAAATTCTCCTTCATGTTGAGGGGCAAAGTTCATCACAGGTGATCGAATTAGCCAAACAATACTTAACCACCAATGAAGAGAGTAGCAGGGCAGAAATTTATCGATATCACGTGCGTCCTGGTCAAGCGTGTGGGTATAAGATCGGCTTAGAAGTATTCAAGCACATTGTCAAACACAAGTTCAACGTTGATCAAGTGAAAGATTTCGTTCGATCTGACCTGCTAGAATGGTATAAAGACGTGTTATGGAAAGCCGAACGACCATTCGATTTATTATTGCGTGAAAATGGATTACAATGGTCGTTTGATGAATAAATCTGTGTTATATTGGAATTTTTCTTTGCTGATTGTTGGTATGAAACATTTTGAGTCGTTCTTGTAACTTGGATGAGCTCTAAACAAACGATTTTTAACGCATCGTGGTTCTAGTTTAGAAGTCACCGTCATGAATAATTCGTCAGTAGATCCACTGTTTCGACAAAGGACGCGGACCCATAACAAGCCAAACGGCTTGTGTTCTCTTATTCCGTTTAAAACACTTTCGTTAACATACAGATCGATAGAGCCTCTCAAGCTCTACAAAATGGGAAGTGAAGTGATAAAATCAGATTCGCGCACGAGTGCGCAGGAAAGGGTGTGGCTGTGGGTGGATGTGGGGTGCGAGTGTGAGTAGATGTGGTGGTGGCAGTGTGGGTGTGGATGTGTGATCCAATAAGTAATATCCACAGCTACACCCACACTCACACCAACACCCACACCCTAGTTCTGCTACCGGTCACCAGCTTCTGAAGACGAAAATACGTGCTCCTAAAATTCAAAACAGTATGTCACAGGGTTTCACGTGGGATGGGACAACCCTATCCCGTCCATTGAGAAGTTTTCCAAAAGAATTGCGCCCCATCTCATCCTATCGGGCTCAACATTTTGCATAGGATCCCATGGGACGTGCGATCCGTTCTTTTCAATATGCTCGCACACAAATGTATGAAATGATTAATACGAAGAACTCAAAAAACGAACCTGAATGGTTCTCAGTCTCTGCAGAGAAAGAAAGTACAACAGCCTGTCCTTCAAGACTATGAAGACGATCCTGGCGATGAAGACCTACGAGAGATAGTGCGGACGATAGTTCGAACATTAAAGAGCTGGCGTTCAATCACCAAAATGCGATGAATTAACTCACTATTTGACTTGTGGGTGTGGATGTGAGAGGGTGTGGGGTGTGGGTGTGTGGGTGTGGGTGTGGGTGTGGGTGTGAGTGTGGGTGTGGGTGTGGGTGGGTGCCGGGTGTGGGTGTGAGTGGGTGTGGGGTGTGGGTGTGTGGGTGTGGGT